TATTTTTCAGGTGCCCTGGGTGTCTGAAGGTGCATTCCAGGTGTCTGATGCCTGCCCAGGTGGGAACCAGGATGTCACCAAAGCTGTGGGATGTGTCTCTTTCTCTATGAGAAGCCACAAGTTCTACCATTTTCTACAGTGCTGGAAAATGTGGTTATTTATTACAGTACTGGGCCGACTGCATGTTTGATCTGGGTTGTTTGAGGGTTTTTTCCCTCAGAAATGAGAATGTGAGAAAGCAAATCAGTGCCCTAATGCTGCAGGAGATCCCTGGAGGTCTTGGTTTGCCAGAGACTTTTTAGAGCACCTGGACCAAGGGTAACCACTGTGGGGCAGCCACCCAGGGGGTCTGCTGGGGTTGTGGTACTCGGGGGCTGGCAGGACCTCACTTTCTCTTCATCTCTAAAAGTGACACTTGACAGCACAATGGGGAGCACCCTCAGCACCACTTAAACTGTGTGACCTCCGTTTGCTTCACAAGGTCTGGGTGGGCTTTTGGAGCACAAGAAAACCCACTGCAGACAACGTCACAGGCGACGTAAAATCCCTTACCTTGACTCACGCTTGAATTCTCCATCGCTCAGCCACACATCTTGCAAAAAAGGATGTTTGTGGTCATTCATCCCTCGCACTTCCCAACGTACAGATGAAGCCAACTGGATGGTGTCCATGCCTGGTTTCAGTCCTTAACTCCTTGCTTGCACATGTACAGTTTTGCTCTCCCAGGCTTTGCTTTCCCAGGTTGCTCCAGCCTCTGCCCTCACCCCAGCTCGCCCCCAGCCCTACCCGCACCTTCCTTCCCTGCCAACCCCTCCCTCTTTCCCCCCTGGGCAGCAGCGTGTTGCCCCACCGATCACAGGTGCCTCCTGCGAAATCGCTGGGTGACGCCGGGGATTTCTGGCTGCAGCATCACACAAGCGTTGGGTGCCACACCTGAGTGGCTCCCGATAAAAGGTGTGAGTTTCAGAAGGATTTATTGACTGCTTCCTGCAGCCTCAACCAGGGATTCCTGGTGGAAGACTCTGGGTTATTTTAAAGGTGGGAGTGGGGAGTTAAAACAGCCACACCAGTATTGCACAGTGCCTTCCAGCAGGTTTAGGTCTCCATGCTGGGTCATACCATTTTCAGATGCACATCGTTTTCCAGCTATACCCATAGCATGAACCTAACAGTTACAGCCAAACAACTTGCAAGCTCTCCTTTGTGATATTTTCTTCTTCAGCTCCGTTTCTGGGCCCTTGCAGGGATTTTACTGCTGAAACTTCATTCTGCTGCTAGCCCCAAAATGCCCTCCCCGTAGCATTGCTGCTGGCCTGGGGCACCCTCCTCAATGATATTTCTGCCCTAAGCCTGGAAATGAAGTACCTACCAGCTGCGGCATTTCTGCTGCTTGTTTTTTCAGCTGATGCATCCCACTAATAAGCAGCCAAATCCAGAGCCATTGCTCCTGTTCCAGTAAAGCAGACCCGCCAGAGAAATGAGCCTGCCTTACGGTACCCACTGTTTAATGGGCATACACTGTGCTTTTCCCATAAAACTCTGATTTGTGTGGGCTTGGGTCAGGTAAGTATGTTACCCAATAATTTTCTGTTTTCTGTGCTGGCTGCTTTTTTCTGTAGAGGTGTTATTACAGAAATGTTGACACAATTCAGGTTCTGTTTCTTGGGTTTGTCCGTGTTTCTTTTCACACCAAGTTTCAGAGCGCTGTGAACAGCGAACATTTGGGAACAAGGTGAACCACTACTTGATGGCTTTCCTCAATTAGGCTTGGGATGTTTATGCAAAAAAAGTATAAAAAAGCGACCCAAACTCAGACTATAAACAATTCAGTCAGGGGAACAGCTCCTAAGCAAAGCTCGACCTCCTGGTCTGGAGCAAAAGCTGCTATCCCTGCCCTGCCAAGCCCTGGTGCTGGGGCTCACGATGGGGCTTTGTTCACTGTGTTTGAGGATACAAACAGGCATGCGTTGTTAAAAACACTTTTTTCCTCAAAATATGTTCCCAGAGGCGGTGAAATGCTCCATATTGGGAAGCAGGCTCTTTTCTGGAACCTGTGGAAGTCCTTTACTGCCCCCCTGCAGCCTGTGGGGACAGGCAGGGAGGAAAATCAGGAGAGAATCATGTCTGTTAAGTCATTTACAGGGAAATATACAAAAGTAATAGAAAAAAATTGCTAATCTTCACTTTAATACAAAGGATTATTTTCCTCTAGGGTGGTAAAAGTAGATGAGAGAACTGGGAATTGGGAAAAGTGCAGTGTTTTTTGGTTTTGCTTCAAGGAGGGGACTAACCTCCAAGTTACAGGCTGTTTTCTGCTGATCTGCTGCCACTTTGGTTGCTCCATCACCAGGAATGAACACCCCTGTTTTCAGACAGGAACCCCAAAGCAGGACTATCAAATGGAAGACACGCATGAATGAAGTGAACAAAACAACAGGGAAAGGATCACTGTGCCAGAGGCAATGACCAGAGGCAATGGGCACCAACTGAAACACAGAGGGTTTCCTCTGAACATTAGGAAACATTTTTTCTCCGTGAGAATGACCAAGCACTGGCATAGGTTGCCCAGGGAGGTTGTGGATTCTCCAACATTGGAGATATTCAAAAGCCGTGTGGACATGGTCCATGGCAACTGGCTCTAGGTGGCCCTGCTTGAGCAGGGGATTGGACCAGATACCCTTCAGAGGCGACTTCCAACCTCAACCAGTCTGTGATGCTGTGGCCACCCCTAGGACATGTTAATTTTAGCCAGGCTTGAGCAAAGTGAAAGTCTGGTGGAAAGACTAACTCCTGGTTTTCGTCAGCTTCAGGACGAAAACCTCAAAGGGGCTTACAGATAAAGAATGAGGAAAAATAATGAATTTCAGTGAGTATAAATACTAACTGCCAGACAGATAACGTCCAAAAATAGATCAGCTGGAGATCGGCTGGCCTGTGGGTCCCAGGCTCTTCAGGAGGGAGTTTCATTGGGGCTCAGCATTTTGGGGAGACAGCTGGAGCAGGGTCCTGTGGTGGGGAAGGGGCAGCCCCCGGGAGCCCCTGCCTTCAGCCTCATTTGTCCTGCATTGGAGCCCAGCCCTCTGCAATTGAATGATGGCCTCTTTAGAGGGTCAGTAAGAGGAAGATGATCCACTTTTTTACTAGTACAGTCTGCCAGCAAGGGGAAGCATTGGGATGTAGCTCAGTCCCCTTTCTTTGTGACCCAGAAATGGGTGGCACCTGCCCCCATGAGTCAGGAGGAAGCAGCCAGGTCCTGAGCAGAGCTGTCCCACACCTACCACCAGGGCTGGCAAAAGGAAAATCTGCCTTCTTCCACTCTCACAACAAAGGCATGGGGTTTTTCCAAACCAAAACCTATTCATGGATATTGTGCAATGGCACAGGTGACAATGGCTTTCTATTGGAAAGCCCAGGCTCCTGGGCTGCCCCGAGCATTTCATGCAGTTTCCCAGTGCCACGGGTGACCTAAGCTCTCCATCCGTCTCTTCAGCCCCTCTTCCTTCCGCTGATAGGATGCTAATCACTGCTAAGAGTGTTCCAGCTGAGCACAGGCTTGCGCCTTAGTCATCTGAGGAAGCCCCCTTCCTCTCTTTAAAGTTTTCCCATGCTTAATTCGACTTTGTATCAGTAGGAAATGACAAGTCGTGTCACTTTTTTTCTTTCCAAGTGTTTCATACAGCTTCATTCTACGTAGACGCACAGCATCTGAGTGGGAAAGCACAGTGAACTCATGAAGTATTACCAATAGGAAGTGACATTTTTCCTCCTTTTGTTCAGTAGTTTCCCTGTGGACTGCAGTTAAAATACTGAAGACGTTTTATTTAAAGACAGGATGGTTGTGTTTTCAACTTAGATACATTTCTGATTCAATTTTCTGTCCGTCTGAAACCAAATCTGACTGGTCTGAACAATTTTCAAGTGATTGCAAAATTACTTACAAGAAACCCCTGAGACTATAACTGTCTATCAAATGCTGTCTCTACACCATGCTTTAATATCAGAAAAATTAATACAGAATTTCACTTAGGAAGTGTTCTTACTCTGTGTCAACTTCAGGAGTCTTTTATGAAAGCAGCTATTTTCAAGCTTGTGCTTCACAAATTTGCCAGCAGAATTACATCTTGGGCAGGCATCTTCTGAGGGCTGAATGGTGATCTTTTCCTTAACAAAAGGGCACTGAAGGCCTTGAACACTGATTGATTTTTGCCCTCATGCCCATGCTTCAGCAGTGCTTTAACCCCTAGGGCTAGCTGTATCTGGTGGCTATGTGCTTTACAGAAGAAGGGGTAGACTTGGAGAAGTACTGTAAAATCTCTCTAGACTGCTACTAAAGAAACTGATTCTCAAACCACGAAAATATTCACTGAAGTACCGGGCACTTTGCAGATTTGTTTCCAGACCTCCCAGGCCAGAGAGGGACCCTTCTTTCATGTCTCTCTTTGAAGTAACTGCATCAACTGGACTTCAAGTTCCCTTGTAATCAGGATCACTGGTACCAGAGGAACAGGATTTATAAGGGAAAGGCTGGGTTAAGGAAACAGCAGAAAAGCTTCAAGAACCTGTGTTTAATTTTGCTCTGTACTGCTTACGCTACTAATAATACTCATATTTCTCTTCAATAGAGCATGTTCTTCTACAATTTATGAGCTGCAGCACATTAACTGGTTACAAGGCCATATCCTAATGCATCTCCATGTTATGCTGCTCAAGTATTTTTCCCCTTACTCAATAATCCTTAACCTGCGTATGGCAGCTGATCCCAAATTACAGTGAAAAATAATCCCTAGCATAACATCACATCACTTACATCTACGAAAGCTTGTAAAAGTGTTTTTCACAGAATGATTTATAGACAGTCAAGGGTTTGAAACTCTCCTTTTATTGCATATATTTCTTCTTACTTTACAAATAATTATATGCACTGATACAAATGTTCCTTCACAGAAGGTACATTTCTTTTTTTAAAAAAAAGGGCTAGGGCATCATCCAAAATAAGCCATTTATTGTTCATTAATATAAAACGTATTCATATTTCTAGGAGGTGTCATATCCAGACCACTGTTCAGCCAAATTTCGCGTATGATCTGCTCCCTGCGCTCTATCCTTTCGGCCAGTTCTGCTGCCTCTGTTGAATTATAACCTGAGTAAGAAGGTCTGTAAAGTCCCACTATCTCATCCTGGACATCCGAATCAGAGGAATCTTCCTCCTCCTCCTCCACCTCGTCATCCTTTTCACTGCTCTCGTACACTCTGTCCTTGTCTGGCACTAAGTGCTCCTTCTTTCTGTGCAACTTCTGGAAGTCACTCGAGCATGACCCGCGGGCCACCAAAGCACAGAGCGTGAAGATGAGTCCCACGCAAACGCTGGACATGAACAGGAGAGCGGCTCTTTCAGGGTGATCTGAAATCAGAAAGCCGCTGCTTAAACAGTTTACAAACTCTGCCAAAGCCCAGCTACAAAAAAACCCGTGTCAGCTGTCATTCCTGAAGTGCCCTGATTACACAGCCATAATGGTGGGGGTGCCTGGGGGCACAGGGCATGTGGAGAGACTTTTTCTGTCTTGCACCAAAACCACCCTGCACTTGGGGTCTGAACACTGCCGTCTCTGCCACTTCAAATTACTGTGCAAAATTCCCAGCCTCTTAATAACATAAAATAACATTATCCCATGTTTTTATAAGCAGTTTACTATCATTCTCAACCAACTACCAGAAACATACTCTTTTTTTTTTTTTTAGCCATCCTGCCAAAATGGGCCTTACCCTCATGAAGAGGGGGCATGGGAAGAGTGACTCTGGGCTCCACGGAGCCATGGCAGCATCTCAAGGCCAGGCTGGGCAGGGAGCATTTTCCTTCCTTCACACAGTCTGAGATAACTTCTCAGGATAGCAACAAGTGAGACAGAAGTGGAAACGGCCTTTCTAGAGGGTTTGTAAAACCCAACCCTTGCTGCTCGGGGCTGCTGGACGGTGTCAAGGGTGGCTGGGTCTGGGGGTGTGGGGAGAGCTGCTGGGCGCAGCTGGGTGACCCCAGCAGGGACAGCCCGTCTCACCGTGCTGGCAAGGGAAGCCTTTACAAAGGCTGTGGGATGATGCTCGACAGCTGCGTGGTTCTTTGCCATTTTCTACAAGAGCAGCAATCTGAGCTCCAGAACTGCTTCTCAACATCAGACTTTGCTCACTTCCAAAATTCATGACTTCTCCTGTGATGTTAGAGAGCTGGTGATCACAAATTTATCTGCCTAAACAAAATTTGCCGTAGTGTTGCTAAGTCACAAAACCTGCTATATCCCATACCAGAAATGGCTTTGTTTGTTTGTTTTTACAGCTTCTCAATGACACTTCTATGTATGCAAACCAAGATTTCCAAAACTGCATGTCTCCAGCACTGCTCCCAGATCAGGATCAGGCTTTCAAAAATATTGAACAACCGACAGTCCCCACTGAGAATGTTCAATAAAAAAAAGTATCTTGGCTGCAGTCTGTAAAAGAGTTTGGATCCTTCAAGATGGAAAATATTCTGTAAGTATCAATTTTGCTGTGACTGTCCCATACACAAGCCTGTGATTACATTGTAATAATAGTTAGTAAAAACATGGGATTACCAGTTGTAATCTCTTGAGGTGATACTCCCTTTTCCCAAAATGCTACAATCTAATAAACCAAACAATCTCAGCCTCATTTCCCTACCTCTAATGTACGCAAATGTAGCCAAGGAGTTGCTAACAATAATGCCATCTTTCTTTGGAAGTCTTGATTCCTTTGGATCAAGGTCGACACCTGTGACACAAGAAGGGAACACAAATTCATTCATATCATAGATAATGAAGCCATTGAGCTGATACTCACCCAGTAACTTTTGAACTAACACGTCTGTCTGAAACACAGGCAGGCCAGGGCTGTGCCAAAGAAAACTTGCAGAACACCAGGCCAAACAACATTTGATAAATTTTTTAAAAACTGAATTAAAGTATAAATAACAAAGTATTGAAAATATTGAATATCTAGAATATGGCAAAATTATTTTTAAAAATCTATTGCCAAGTGAAACCCCTTGCCTATTCCTATTCAACTTTCTGAAATAATTTATTTCCATTAGGCTTCATGGCTCCCAAATGGACTTCCCAATCACTGCAGTACACTCCCATTACTGATGACAGTGAATACGCATTAGCCACCCCATTAATTTGATTTGCCTTTAGGGAGAGCAAATGGTGGCATAATTCTTTAACTGTCTCTTCAACCTGCAACAACTGCAGTTTCACTTCTACTTTTTGCATGGTTCAATCAAAGTTAGCAGATTTTTTTGATGGTACATACCATCGTTCTGTTTGACTGAAGACTTGCTATCGGTGACCAGGGGGTTGACAGCCGCGAGGATAAATTTAGGAACTGAAAAGATGAAAGACAAATTGTGCACTGTTAGTTTTAGGAACCAGCTCCCGAGTTAACTACCAATCCCACTGCTAATCCTGGGGTTTATATCTGGGTTTCTGATGGGGGTACTGAAGAGATGGGAGTGGGCGTCTGTATCTGGAGCCAGCGTGGGCAAGTGCCAGCCCTGCCAGTGCGCAAGCCTGGCCCTGAGCTTCCTCGGAGGCCCAAGATGCTCCCTCACACCCGGAGGACAGGAGCATTTGCAGAGGTGGGGCAGCCCCAGGCAGAGCTGTGCTGCTTATTCCCACCATACCAGCCCTGACCAGGGCTGCTGGCACTGCATTGCCTTGACTTTCACTAACCTGGTGTCCTGGTTTACTAGGACAGAATTTGAGTCAGTTTTCTGTTGAGGAAAGCTGTGATTTTGTAAGGACTACAACACACTGTTTCATAGGAACAAAGCTGCTAAGACACTTTGTGACTGGTCCTGGTATGCAGGTTGCCATACTGATCAAGGTCTTTAACAGTTTTGAGCTGGCCAGGTGCAGAAGCTATGAGGAGCTAAAGCCAGGGCAGATGACCCAGGTTGACCAATTAATACCACTCCATACCATAAATGCCACATTCACTATAAATTGGGGAGTTTGCTGTGGATGATCCTTGTTCTTGTCTCTTCCACCATGGCTGACATCTTGAGAAGGACTTGTCTACTGTCCTACTCCTGAGGCCTACTCCTCCACAACATTGGCAGAGTATAACTCCGTGTACTTTATATTGTAACTGCTATTAATATTAGTTTATTATTATTGCTATTTTATTAAATATTTATCTATTTCAACCCATGATTCTGCTTTCATGGAGATGAAATCATGGGGAGGAGGCACCAGGTAACAGAGCAACTGCATAAACCACAGTACCAGGTAACACTCTAAGGGGAGAGCTGGCAAATGCAGGGCCCTACAAACGCAGGAGCCCCAGGAGAAGGGCTGTGCTGCACACATCCTCCTCTCTCCACTGCCACCCACATCTGGCACACCAGGAGGCACTGGGATGCTGTGGCACGGGATGGTGGCAAAGAGCACGCTGTGGCAAAGAGGAAGTGCGTCAGGCAGAGCGAACCTGAGGGATGCACAGGTAGAGAGCCAGTAATTTTCACCTAAAGATCAGTGACACACCAAAGGGGACAGATAATGCTGTGATTTCTTGCTAGTGACTAGTAAGGGCAGCTCTGGACCTGTGACTAGGTTCACACACCAGCCTGCGGAGCTCCAGGAACATCAGTGCAGGGATCTGCCCCCTTTCTGTCTCCTTGTTTTCCACCACACAAGGGGAGTGCCAACCTTAGGAGACAAAATTGGCCTACAGATTCAGGACTGGGCTACAATCAGATGCTAAACTGCATCTAGATACTGTTTTTCAATGAGGATAATTCACTGAAATTCTCAGAGAAATGTTTCTAGTCTTGTGTGATGTCCACTGCAAAGCCTTGGAGATGAATGGTGGCCAAGAAGGAACATACACTGGATGGGAAGAGATGAGCTCAGCGGGAGTGTGCTGCATCCTTCACATTTCATGATTTTTTTCCTTGGTAAGTTACCACACTCTTCTTAAAATAATTAGAAGAGGTAAAAGCAGGTGCATCATGCAGACACTGAGAGTTCCCATATTCTGTGTTAGATGAATGGGCCCTTCAGATACCCAGACCTTGGCACCTGTTCCCTGTGCTATGTGAAGGCAGATTGATTGACTTTTCAAACTGATGTGAAGGGGCGGGGAAAGGAAGAAATTTCAGGTATGAAGTTCACCTCTATCCCACACAGAAACATTTGTCAAGAAATAGTGTTAAGGAAAGTTGAACGGAACAGAGGAGATTGAGGTTTGGGGCTAAGCATAGTTTTCATTTGAAAAACAACTAAAAATAGAACTTCTTTCTGAGCAGAACTTTTCTTTGTGTGTGGGCCTAAAGTCATAGCTGCTGCCTTTCCTCATGAAGGAATTTTTTGGGGACTCTCAGCTCCTGTTTGCATTAGAAGGCCAACAGAGATATGGGAGAATGAGCTCACTTCTATTTTGGCTTGTACCTCATTGTAATTCTGAACTGTTTTCCAGCAGCAGAGTGTTTTTGTTGGTGCACGAGGCAGACAGTGAGCAGGCTGGTTTATTTTCAGACTGCACCGTGAATTTTCAGGCCTGGCTGTGTGGAGGATGTGCACATGTTAAGAAGAACATCCTGGGAGGATGCACTGTGCCCAGCACCTTTGTGGGACCTGAAGCTCCTGTCGCATGCCCTGGTGACCAGTCTGGGGCTCCCTCACCTGCGCTGATGTTCCTCCTGCTCCCCTTCCAGGGCTTTACTTGCTGCAAGACTGAGTCCTTTCTCCACGTCTCCCCATTGGGTTTGAACGACTATTTAATCTGCCATTCAAATATTTGTTGCAGGGGGATGCTTAATTCAAAATGGCATGGATGAAAAAAAGCTCCTGACTGCCTGCATTGTTAATTTTTGTTACGGCTTCATTTCAGACACAAGGACTTTAACTAGGATAGGCTGCATCAGGTCACTGAACAGAATAACTGGTACTAGCACAAGGAATTTTTATCAAGATAATCACAGCTATACTACAACTTGTGCCAGCACTACTCTGTCAAGTAGGGTAGGAGTCAGTCACCTACCGCAAGCTGCCAAAGGCAGCCCACAGGAGGATTTTGAATGGCATCCAGGGAGTGCAGATACAACGTGGGGCAGCGGGAGCTGTGTTTCCTGAGAAAGGCTCCTGAAGTCCAGCCTCAGCAAGAGCCAGGAGATGTCACCCCATGTAGACACGAGATGATGCTGAACAGGTCATGGGGGCACTGAGACTGTGAGGAACCAGCACCTCCTGGCTCCTGTGAACTTTTACTAGCAGAAATTAACTGCAAAATTAAAAATACAGCCAGACACACTGGCCCTAAATGATTGCTGACCACTGAGGTGGGGAGTATGGCTTTTTTCACATTCCTGACCATGATGGAAATACTCTCAAGTGCAGCACAGCCCTCAGAGAACATGGTCTGCTCTGCTGTGCTCTTGTCACTTCAGCGGGAGATCTATTTACCTTATCTTGGGAAGCATCAGATTAGCAAGGAACTTCTAGTGAGGGGAAAGAATGCAAAATGTCATGTTGGAATATGCCAAAACTCTTCCCATGTTCACTAGATGATCTGTAAAATAATTAGACCTGCAATCATTGGCTAATGCTTCAGATTGCACAGCTCAGTAGGATTTGGCAGAAGAAAAAGTCTTCAAAATGTGCCAACAACACACAAGAACACTATTTACTACCCACATGTTTTTGCAAAACCACTTCACTAAATAACAGAATGCATAACCTCACTGCAAACAAACACACAGTGGTTTTCTAGCACAGATGTGTAAGGAAGAGCTATCTAATTATCCCTACTCTAATTAAAGAGAATTCCATTAACTCATTCATAAAGCTACTACAGCATGAAGGCAACTGCACAATAACATAACATATTAGTGCAAAGGCAGATCTCCAGCACTCTTCAACAATATAAAGATGAATTACTGCAACACTTCTCACCTAACAGCTAACTCATGGGGAGACTGAAAACCTCTCATGCAGGCAAGGAAGCAGCCAGAGCTCATTTTCCTCTGATCTTCAGGTACAACGGTGATCTGGTAATCAATCCTGCACTGCTGTTCCCAAAAGCACATCTCAGATAATGTGTGCCCTCTGACCACTGCTCACTAGAGAGGCAGGAAAGGACGCTATGATACATCCCCATGGAGCTACTGCTGCGACTCCCTCCAGACCAGAAAAAGCCAGGATGGAGCAGGGCCAGCCGCTTTCTGAGCGGTGCACCGAGAGCAGAGCAGCAACCTGGTGAAACAGCTCAGTTGAAGTGGAGGTGTGTAAGAGACAACCACCCCTGAGCCTTGCGCTTCTACCCCACAGCCTGCCAGCAGCAGAAAGCAGAGGCTGAGGAAAACTGTTTGAGGCTTAAGAAACACAAAGCCATTCGTAAAAATGTGTAATGCCAAAATAAGGCACTACATTAAAGTTCTGCAACCACTTTTCTCTCACCTTTCTTGATATTATCTGCTGCTGTCTCAGGAGCTTTGCTTTGGAGAAAAATAATTTTAAGGAATTCTGCTTTCCCCTCATGTAAATACATTAGTCTACGGTAAAGAATATGGGAAACTGTTCCCTCATCTGAGGAATGAGCTGAAGTAAGCTTCAGTCCTGCAAGGGATGTATAAGCTCAAACCTTTACTTTTAGTGAGACTTTGCCCATGAGAAAGGAAATCTCTCTGCAAGGCTGAAGGCTGTAGGTGTGCTCTTGTGAATCAGATTTCAGGACTGGGCTTGTACACAGTGCTTCAATTATGCTGGACTGCTCTACCTGCACTGGTGCAGGCAATGCCAGGATACTTTTCTTAGCTCTGTTGCAGATTAATTCTGTAGAACAGACTCTTCTTTTGATAGTATTTATCAAAATATTAAAACACAAGCTTTATATTTTATTGCCAATTGAAAAAACCCAGAACTGTAATGCCTGAGTTTACACAAGGTGCAACTCTGTCCATGGGACCGATCATGTATTTTTGGTATTCTTGTACAGCTACATCACAAACTTCCTGTGTTAAAAGGAAGGGGACATTAGGGAGCCTCTGTGTGCCTCCATATGTGTGCACCATTTGGCACTGTTTTGCTTTGCAGAATGAAGACTTTAAAATGATGATGCATTTGTTCTTACCACATGCATAGCTGACGTTAAGGTATTTTGTCACTCCAGGTAGGCACGGACTTCCAAACTTCTGGCTAGTGACAATAATTTTGCATCTCTGTTTCCCATAACATCTTTTTGATAAAACTTCTAGTGCCGTGTAAGACAAACAGTCTGAAAGAAAAAGACATACAGTACATATACAACACTGGTGTTATCAGAAATAATAGCTGCTACACGCATGACTAGACATAGGAATTTGCTATTGATTTCAGGCATATGTTTGCCTAGGCAGGACGTCAGAATTAAGTATTAGGATTTGTCAATACAAGGAAGTCAGCGTGCAATGAAAATGTAAACTTGCAGCAAGCTGACTACCTCATGGTGACTTCCAGGTGCATGCTCTGGTTGCAGGAAGATCGATGTCAACCTCCAAACGAGGTGTTCCAGCATCTATGCTCCTTTCACGATGAACTGGAAAAATAAGCACATCCCAAGAGCTCTCCATCTACTTAATCTCAAGATGAGTGTGCAAATAAAGGCAGATACAATGCTGTTTGCAGGTCTCTCTCTCCCCCTGGGTTATCGAGATTATTTGACTGGGTGCCTAATTTCAGTTCAAGTCAGGTGAGATCAATTTTTGTGTGTCAGAACAACGAGGACTGCAGTCAAGTTTGGCATATAAAAGGTAGCTTTTGCTTTATTATGCCTGTTGCTGGTAGGAGCCATCCTGCTGTGGCAAAGAGGTCAAAACTGGCTCAGTATTTAACCAGGGAAAACATTTGGCTTCTTCCTCCCATACCAAATTCCAGGCTGTTCTACTAAGGCTGCCACCACAAGCCAAGTTGGCATGCCTAAAGCAACCTCAATGGTATCTCCACTGCACTGCCTTCATGCCCTAATTACATGAGGCAACCCACATCATTTTCAAAGCTTGACTTTGTGCAGGCGAAGAGAGTCCAGATTGCTGAAACTCTCCCTGTGAACTGAGCATTAGGCAGGCACCGTGTGCAAAAACCCACCTTGCTGACATCTACACCCAGGGTTGGGATTTCTTTATTGAAGCTTACCACAATTTATAAAAGAATAAAACTTGGATCAGCAGGATTTTGCACTGAAGCTGAAATTATTTGAGTGGGGAACTCTGTGCATCAGACAAAGTTTTAAAATCTGCTTTAAAAAAAGAAAGAACGTCTCTAGATTGTGATTAAATTCACATTATCCACATGTGCCAAACTCCAAGCCACAAAGCAAAAACACTCCTTTGTTTTGGTTTCTAAACAAAAAGTATGCAGAAATGGCAAGTCAGGAGTAAGGAACACTTTTCTGAAGCTGTCTGCTTCCAGTCAGCATTACTTCACACATTTTGTGCCTATGGGTGGGTGATAGATATCTCTCAGTCTAGTCTTCTGAGGTAGGGACATTCTAGAGGTCTGAAAACATACTTCTCTGAGCATTAAACCAGTCCTTATTCCTAGAAAAAAATCCATAGATAAGGAGAGCACCCTGTCACCTTTCAACTGCTGAAGGTCATTTACGGCTCTTTAGAGGAAGGAGAAACAGTGTTTGCGAAGACACTTGAAAGGTTCCCCAAATCAGTCTTGTTTGGAAAGAATGGGGAGGTTTGAGACTGGAGATCTTGACAAAGAAGGTTCACCTTTAATAAGTGAAAATGGGGCAGATTTATGATTTTTAGAGTTAATCCCCTGACACCAGCCCTGAATAAGTCGTACACTTGAGCACAGCCATTGGGAGATACTGAGCTGATTTGTTTGTTTGCCAAAGGGTGTGCAGGTTACCTTTGGACATGGATTTTTGGGAGAGGAACACTTTGCTTGTCTTTTCAGAGACCTAAAATCCTAAAGGCCATGGGTCCTGGGAGGCTGCTGAGCAGGCAGGGAAGGCTGACCTAAAACATTGAGTAGTTCTGGTTAGAGTAACTAACTCAGCTGTTTACATTTCCCTCTTTGGCGATTTTAAATGAGTAAGGATATATTTGGGTGGACATTTTAGGCAGCCATGTAGCTTATTTTGGAAAGTATGAAAACAACTGAAGAGTATCAGAAGGAATTATCAGATGATTCATAAATTAATGGATTGGGAGCACAACAGCAATCTGGCAAACTGCATTATGTTTTCTACAAAATTTCCTGCCCTTTGAGCTACTCACAGTGTCTCAAAAAACAGGAGGCTGCTGTGCTGATGGTTTTCTACAAATTCAGTGATACAGCGAATACATGTTTCATTTTGCCTTTGGTAGATGTTTGCTCATGTTTCTGTGGGGGTTAATAGCTCCTTATCATCTATATTAATGTTGGATTTGGCTCCTCTACTCGAGGAGCCAGTCGTCATATGCCTGTGGGCTCTTGGCAGGCCAGTTTCTGGAGAACTTCCCAGGGCTTGCTTGGTGTCGCAGGTGAGTAAATGCAAACCAAGGCTGGCTTGCTTTTGCAGGACAGCACAGACATTAACTGGAAAGCTTTATAACAAAAAAACCCCTTATTTAACAGCTTCCTGTGGTCCAACAAGATTTTGGCCTTTAGTGATTCAGTCAGTAATTGTTCAAATTTTTCCTCTCTGGTTTCTATGCGTCCTTGCTATGTCCTCACTAGCCCTCCTTGCAGCTATGATGCCAGCTGAGCAATGATTTCAGCTTGGAGGAATTCTGTGTACTCAGTACCGAAGGCCACTTTTTCAACATCTGCGTCTTCGTCTGTACAATCTCCCACAGGCAGACACTACAGAAGTGCACCTACACTGAGGGCAGAGGAATTAAGGTGTGCCAGAGGAACATTCAAGACAGTTTCAAGCAAACTTGCTTGGGGTTTAACAGCAATCCAATTGCAGCAACGCAGAGCTTGCATGAGGAATACCTTACCTTCCTTATGGTCAAGCACCTTACTTCAGTGTCTGAACGAGGAGAGGACTCAGTCAATGCTGCGTTCTGAGTAAATGAGTGAACGGTCTCACTGAATGGTCCCAAAGAAATCACAAATCAGGAGACAAACATAAATATGCATTTTCTTTCTGAACATCTAAGTAATGTTTCAGCTACACATATGTCTGTGGGGCTTGCTAAATTGGTACCGTATGCTTAAAACAAGCTGCCTCTTGAAAGGCGCTTTCCCAGCATGCTAGAAGGCTGGTGGCATCCACCAGCACTGGCAGAAAAGGCAGTGATGTGTAGCTGGGAAAACACACCATTCTTCACGCCTTTCTCCCAAAGTTGCCTGCTACACACCAAGACTGCTGGGGGATCTTTTGAAACAGACACTCATATGGATGGCATGGAGATACGGGTGTCAAGAAGAGGTTCTTAACACAGTAGCAGACTATCAGATCTGACTGCAGCTATTTAACAGTTAGAGTAGAAAGCCTTGTTTCTGAAGGAAAGGCTCTTTCAGCTCCCTAATTAGCTTTGTTTAGGAAAGTTTTGGCATGCAAATGACATGCCATAAATCATGCAGACTTTAATGAGAAGCAATTTGTCTTCTGGTTTCTTAAAGCTTCTCTCAATTCAGACAGTAGGAGCTTTCCCTCCCTTTCTTTCCACCCTCCCATACAAGACCTGTAGGTGATGGAGGAGCCAGAGCTGGCCACGCCAATAGGGTCCTGTCACACCCTCTCCAAACATTGCTAATTGCTGTCTTCTCCCACATCACCATGCACAGGGCGGGCCTCAAGACACGATGGGTAGGGAATGTGTCTGAAATGTAGATCCGCATGACATAAAAGGTAACGTGCTGGTGAAGGACCAGGGCTCCCCAAAATGAAACCCCTCTGCAATTTGCCACTCCAATACTGGAGCCGAGCTGTTGCTTGCTTTCAGCCCAAACTGCCAGCTTACAGTGCTGTATGCCTTCTGGGCTGTGCCTGCCTACCCACAAAAGAATAAGGGGCTTGCTTTTAAGATCAACTGAAAGCACAGATTTCACACTACCAAATCAGGATGGCTTGCGCTTTGTGGAGCCCAAATATCAGCTCTGGGGATAAGAACTGACAAGGGGAAACTATACAGTTCAGAGCAAGCTGAGGCTGCAGACTCCTAAAGAAAGTTACCATAATAACATGGTAATTTATGCAACAGCATGGCACACAAGGTCCTGCCTATGCATCAGAAAAGGGCTATTTGAACGGGTGATTCTAGTAAAACCACACAGTATGGTCAGCAGCACTAATGAAAAGTGTTGCTGATACCTTTATGTTTCAGGTCCAAGTACCGTCAGTAAACAAGGCAGTACGATATGCTACAAGTAACATACTGCCAGCACAGGCCATGCCTTAGAAGTGAATACAGCACCAAGGCTTTCTGAAAAGCTGCACCCTCTCTCTCCCTCCCTCTGTTGTGGGGCCCTTGTAGCCTGCATGAGATTAGTCCATTGCTTGGTTTTATTTACAAGCGGCTCCCGGTATTTTGCACCAAAAAACCCCCTGGTCTTTCTCCTTGCACATGCATACTCACAGAGTGCAGAACCCATCTGCCAGCACAAACACTGAGGTCAAGAGACAAGTGGAGCTCCCCAGTCGCTGTTGACAGCAGGAACCAGGCTCTCTCTGCTCAAACGCCCATTGCTTTCTTTTGCACCCTTTGGGTCTGCATTCACACAGGCAGGAGCTCCCAGGCTTATTCTAGGCTTGAGTGCAATGTGTACTTTTCCAAACAGGTCAAAAATCTAAGCTAGGAAAAAACCTACAGCCAAGAAAACCCTGAAATTGCTAGTAAAGAAAACATTAATGGATGAAGTGATGTATGTCTGAGTGTGCTTCAAGCAACTTCAAACAGCTGCTCGGCCAAATGTGACTTTTTCTGTTCATCTCAGCAGAAAGTTAACTAGACACTAAAAATGGTGGGTGCTCTCTTTTTCCCTTCACACGATTGCTTCGCATCCTGCCACTACTTTGAATACCTTTCCTTTTTGCAGACCTTTGTCTGGACAAGATTTGTTAGGGCCAAGGGGTGCAATGGCTCCTACTGACACCTTTTGGGGCTTAAATCACCTAAGCTTCCCAGTTTTCTGAGGCTGACATGGAGAAGGAACTTTTCATATCGATGTACGCACACAGAGACTTAAGGATTTTTGCGGTAAAAGCAAAATTGAACAATTTTATCCTTACTTTTGCACCTATAAAACTCAGCCTACTGTTGTCTTCCACACCCAAAGTGTCAAGGCACTTGTGGCAGAAACTGCAAAGGGAGATGTCAACTTATCCCATGTCCCTGAGCTCTGTTCCTGCTACAGAAGACTGCTGCTCCATCTACGCTGCTCACACCATCTCTCTGCCTTCACAGCTGGAGAACATTTGCTCTTCCATGGTGTCTCTGCAGGAGGTCCTATGCTGTGTTACTAAAATAACTGTTCTGCAGCCTCAGCTTTCTTCCACTCAGGAGTTGGTCACTTGCATGACTGCCCAGGTGACTTGTGCTTGAAATCAGCCCCATAGTTACCTACTAAATATACGCTAAGCAGATGATGCTCAGGAATGGAAGGGCACAGCCAGGCCTTAAACCAGTGGCACCTGCAGCCTATAAAAGACTTAAGTCACCTTCTCTATAGCAGCTGAGAGCTACAAGCTCTTGCTTCTTCCCCCAGCAGAGGACTGGGCTCAGTGTTTCTGTTAATTGACAAAGTGCTCCTTGAAGTGTCTGTCAATACCCAGCATTTCCTAAATTTTGGGCAACTTACATGGTTTGTGTCTTATGGCACCTAGAAATCTATAGCTAGCATGAACCTAGTAACTTCAGCGTGTCAGCATTTCCAGATTTGCCTATAGCAGTCTGTACCTTTACTTATTTACATCTGCTCTCAAGAGACCTATACAAAGGGCTGAGTTACACTACAAGGAGTATACATGTCTTAGGAAGAGAAAGAAACCAAAAGCTTTTCAATCATAATTAGTGAATAAGAGATGTAGGTCCTTTGAATTGCCCACAATACAGATACATCAAAAAAAAGGGGGAAAAAAGGAATCACAGAATCATAAGATATTGTTGTATAACAAAATCATAATGCTTTGATGGGCTGGAATGGACCTACAGGATTTTGGAAATCTCTTTCTTGCCTTGCTAACACTCCTTCTTTTTAGCTGAATGCCAGTTCATTGGGAAGAGGGGATTAGGACAAAACCCAGCCCTGGGGTATGTCATGCCATGGTGGAAACTGTGATGAGCATACCTGAATTCTCCACTTCGCCTCTCAATCTCCCAAAAGTGGGAACAGGAAAAAGAAAAGGGGTTGTGCTGGAAAGGACCCTACCTTCCAGCAATGAAGATACACAATTCAGGGCCCTGATGGTCATTAGTACATGAGGGAATGCACATCTGAGCAGCCAATGCACATCCAGGTGAAATTTCTGGGAAGGACACTATAGTGCTCCAGCTTGTAAGCTGCAGCTAGAGGCCTCTTCCGAGTACTTTCATGTATGAACAAGAATAATCTGTGATTTGAGAAGTGTTTGTTGACCTGAATCCTCCTTGTATTCTCTGCGGTAACCTGTTCTGGCACATCTCTTAACTTCTTCTCGCCAATAAATTTTCTCCTTCCTCATGCACATGTTAGTACAAATATAAAACAGATAATATGTCAGAAAAGGCAACAACTCACACAGGAACAAACTGCTGCAGTTTCCTGCTTTGGTGCTGGGCACAATAGATTCCTCTAAGCAGAACCATCTGCTACAAAACCGCACCTAACTAAAAAAGTTTCAGTCTTCTTGTGACTTTTTGGTAATCTTAGCAAAGCAAGGAAGTTACTTTCTGTAAATTCTGTACAGTCTTAAAAGTGCCAGTCATTTGAACAGCTGCAGAAACAGTTTTTTATTTTCCTGCACTGATCCAGAGATCTTATCATGGAAATAACTCCTTGTGCTTCAGTGAACTCTGCTACTTATGGTAGGAGCCTACTCTGCAGAAGAAAAAACATCCATTGTGGGCTTTTTGGTTGGCACTGTCTCATGCTAAAGCTGTTCTACTGCCTAGCATAAACAAGGCTTAACCAGACCAGAGGACAACTCTACTCCGAAGACTTTATCTAGCACAAATGACACCATGATGCCGTTGCTCTTCTTCCTCCTCTGTACTGGAAATGGCACCTAAGTTACTTTATTAAACAGGCTCAGAAAACTAGTTCCAATGGGAGGCAGTCATGCTAAATGTTAAGCTGAGGCTCAGGATCTTACAAGTGCTCAGAGACTACATAAATATCTCCAATACCATAGACAGATTTATATACTCTATTTGCTACACGGAGAAGTGCCCTAATGCTAAAGAAATTTTATGCCTTCCTGTGTTTCCTTTGAAGCAAAGCTCCAAAAATCTGTCAGCTGATCTGACAGACTGTTCATAGAAAAGCAGTAATTCACAATACATCTGTCTCAGTCCACAGCTGCTGTTTGTCATTAATTGCTTATCAGCTGTACTACATGTAACACGAGGTCACCAAAATAAGTCAATAACCAGTACTCTAAGAAGGACCACATCAAGTACAGATAGATGCAAAACCCTTGAGCTCAACAGAGACTTCCTGTACCTGTCATGAGGATCTACAGATGACTTCCATTCTGTATATTACTAAGAAAAAAAAAAGCCTCACAGTTTCCCTGTGATGCAGTGGAAGAGAAGGAAAGGCTCACACACCCTTGTTAGCCTGGGATGCACAAATGTGGGTAGAACCAACAATGGACGTGTGTTGGAGCAGATTTAGATTGTGGTGCAAACACATACAAGTATGTGGGCTCTGATTCAGGAATGAAGCAGCTGAAATAAAATCTTGTTGACATTCAAATTACCATTGCCTTTCCTGAGAGAAAGGTACACAGGCATTTAAAAAGTCTAACCATGTACCCCCTCACATCTCTGTATGCTTAAATAACCACATAAATAAGATTTAAGCTTGAGATGGATAGATCCAGAATCAATGGATTTGGCTCCTAAGTGCTAAGTCTTTTGTGATAACTGAATGTGTACTCCCAAGCCACATAGGTATTTCTGAAAACTGTACTTGCTGCAGAGGGTTACTGGCACCACGCAGGAAGAGGCCAAGCACTTTCAATAAGTAATGGGAAATTTATACAAGGATCTACCTTCTACAGATCTACCTTGTGTTTGTCTCAGGTTTTGTGCTCTCTTGTATTACCACAGTTTTAGGTTGCTTTATAGAACAAAAAACCAGCAACAGCTAGGGTGCCGCTCAAGAGGCCACAGCAGAGAGTTTGTTGCTGTTGGAAATTCTTTCTCTATTTATACTGGGAAACTTTAGCCAGTAAGAAGGGTTTGTAGTATTCTGATCCAACATTAGAGGCGAGTGAGTGATTTCCAGAGGAGAATGAAATGTAAGAAATAAGTACGAAGGCAGCCTTTCTCGATCAACTGAGCTGTCTCTGCTCTGCCTTACATGACACAACAACGTCACCATCATGAAGGATGTATGGGTCTGTCAGAAACCTGCTAAAATGTTTCTTCCATGGAACAGACAGGCAGAGCTGAAGTCTCTGTGAAAGACCACACAAGACAGCCAGTGTGAAACACAGGCCTGGCAATTTTAAATAGATTCTTGTCTAAGAACAGATTACAATTTTCAGCCAATACATTTTTAATAATATCTATACAACTAAATAGAAACACTGGCTTGCAGACAAAGGCTTTTAAGACTAATTATTGATCTCTTCTTGATGTTCAGAGATGCTTCTTATAGATTCCACTTGTAGCATGTTTCTTAGGAGTAAAGTTCAGCCTTTGCAAAGGGCTGGCATCAGTCACAAAAGTCCTTCCCTGTGTGGTACTAAGGGATGTGAACAGCACACAGATCTCGTGCTGGCCTTCTCCATTGCATGAAAATTTACCTTCACACCTTCAGTGCCAAACACTGAACATAGTATCCATACAAGCATCCAACACCCTCACAACCACATGTTACTATTAATTTAAATATACAGAGATAAAAAGTGAGTAATATGTCATTAATCATACACCAGCTGAGACTATACAGTGAAGTCAATGACTGGTTATCGATGTAGACTGTACAACTAATGATGTTTTGGGTTCTTTTACCTATTCAAAAGGGAATAGTCTGTACCTGAAAGTGTTCACAGTCTGTGACCAAAGCGATATTAACGTTATATCATCATCAATATAGTCTTTGTATACTACTTGTATTGTTAGTACTGCCTTGGTCTTGGAGTCTGGTTATGCAACAACATCTGAAGCAATGGCCCCTGACCTATGGATCCTTACAGTCTGCAGTCAAGGCAAAGAAGAGCCAGCAGAAACAGGTATCAGATGGTAACACTGAGACATGTTGTGACATCCATGTTGCCTAATCGTTGCCAGAAGTTGGAGGAAGAAAAAAGACAAGCAGCTGGTATTTAGTATACGTCACCTAGGTTCAAGACAGCCAACAGAACTAGACATTTTTTGTGCTAATCATACTAAGGACTGATTAACTACATAAAAGTTTATTACTTTGCTGCATTCCTTACTCTATGTTTCTGTCTTGTGCTGGGCAATTTGTTTGAGTTTCAGACATAATCTCTTATCTTTCAATTACTGGCACTTCCAAAATGGCATTGCTCTTGCACCTGAAGTTTTCTCCCCATCTGTTTCCCCCTTCTCTGTGCACCCAGTTAGAGAAGGTCTATAAACAGCATAAAAACATACCAAAGGGGGGGACGCGCTCCACTTCTGTCGAGCAGACGTTCGCCTGGTGTGCCCATCTGCCATAGGTGGCAGAGTAGATGATAAGGAACTTGGACTCCTGACAGTGGAGTTTCAGTTCCTGGTTTTCACATGCTGATTTGGTTTTGTATTCAGCTAAAATAGAAGCAAATAACAATATAGTAGCATGAGGCAATTTACTCAGCTGGACTGTTAACAGCAAATAGCAGCATGACAGAAAGCAAAACAGCTTTTCTGCAAGTTCTGTTGCGAATGGTATGTGGCACTATTACAACCAGAGACAAAGCCAATAGCAAAGAGGAGTGCTTCCTCCAACTGAGCTGCTCCCATATGACTATCTAAAGCCTCTGGCTCCTTTCTAAAAGGAATTAAAAAGTTAACTTTTGCCAATCTCCTCTCCCAGTGTAACATCCTCCCCCATGCCCGCCTGATTTCCTGGCTTGCTTTCCACTGCTGCTCGGTGGGAGAAGCCTCGTCCTTTCCTTTTGTCTCTCCCCAGGACAATGTTGCATTCTGCGCCTACTTCAGACACCCGCCTGAGTGCTGAGCGCCTCCGGCCACTCATCAATCATGGGGACGGCTGGCATCGCCTAGTGCCACCGCATACAGCGCCGAGCGAGCGCCAAAGAATGGGAGGCACAAAGCCACGGGGATGGGCTACATATCCCGAGCCAGACAGCGCTCCCCGCTGTGTTTGCATGGCTCCAGCAAGGTCAGTGGGTTCCTCTGGGCGTGACTATCCAGCGCTGGCTCACTGGAAAAGTTTTGCTGACAAAGCAATGTGAATCAGGAGCCTGAGAAAAATACACGCCCTCCCTTTCTCAGCTGGCACAGACACACTGGCAGCGTGCTCAACACCAAGGTGGGGAAGCTACAAAAGTGGGGAGATAGTCTTCCAGACAGCATGGTTCATCCCTCCTAGGGAAGTGGCTGAAATCTGCCATCTGGCCAAGGAGGCCTCTTGCTGGCCTAAGCAGCTGCTCTCCTTGCAGCATGTTACCACTCGTGTTTCCCTGCTCTGGGTATAGCGGCAAACCGTTTTAGTGCAGATAAAGCCACGGAGAAGAGTTTATTCTGCTCCATTTTTTTTGTCTTTCAAAAATGTGAAAACAGGAAAAGGAGGTTCCCGAGCTGAGCAGGGTAATGTTACTCACTGTTACTGAGTGGTACCCCTGTGAGTGGATTGTGGGTGTTGGTGCTAGGGGAACCGGAGAGAGAAAAACCTCCTGTCTATTCAATATAGAAAACATTATTGTTTCATTTAGAATAGAACAGATTAAAAAAATTAGTTAATGTTCTTGGTAATAGTCCAGTTTCCTCCATTTGAGCTCATCAGCAGCCACAGGTTTAAGTCTAAAAAGGGTGATTCTAAAAACTACTTGACCTGCTGCAGACTGTTACCTCTGCAGAAGCACCTGCCATACCACACACCCATGAGGACTATGCCAAGAAAACAGAGGCTCTGGTCCAAGGGCTGCCAGCCTAAAGGGCTCCATGTCTGCATGGCTGTGCTCTGTGGTTGCTGGAGAGGCTATGGTGTACAGACAGCAGAAACAAACCCACAAGTGGCATGAGACAAGGGTAAGAATACAACAGAGACCTCTGCAGAGATACTGCAACAATATTCCTAAGTAGATGAAAAACTAAGGGAGTCAGGCAATTGCCACTTGGAGGCAAGGAGACTGTAAAACATACTTAGTTATACTCAAGTGATTTCCTGAGTAAGGATGTTTTCCACAGCCAAGCCTAACAATATTAGTATCTTACCTACAAATACAAGTTTCCTGACACATGAAATCATGTAATTTGCACTGGGACTGGACTATTCCTCAATTCTGAAGGCAGCACTTGCTGTTAAATACACTTTTGACCAGCTTTTGTAAAATTCAGATCACAGAGTGTTTTATATATTCAAAGTAGCTCATTTCCACTGGGAAAAACATTAAGAGGCTTATAAAAGTAACAAACAGGATCGCAATCCACTTGTGATTAGTAAAAAGAGATTTCTAATAACACAGACACAGCTATGATATTCAAATCCACCTACTCTTAATAATGCAGTAATTGTAATATGTAAAAAAAACCCCAAATTATTAAGACAGTAAAACATCATTACAATTTTACATTTGAGACTTTTTTTCCCCCTTGATGATCGGCCCAGTAAATCCTGGGAGTTCTTGTGACAGTGCTTTGCCAAAGGTAGGATCTGCCCACCCAATTCCTGTATCTCTGCTCTGACCTCAATACTCTGCATAAACTGGCACTTCAGCTTGCTTGCCACCCCTATTCCTATTCCACCAGTGATGTCTATCTTCATACTCTGATTAAAGAAAATCCCTTTTGTGCTTTCTTCTTTAGTTGTGGGATGGTATTTCCGAGTTGGCTGGTGAACCTGTCCATAAATCATCATTCAACTATTTTCTTTGAGACCCATTTCAGCCACACTGGGGATTAGCTGCCAAAAAAAGCAGAGCCCCCAGGCTACTGGGGCTTGTTCTCACATACAACAGCAACAAGAAAAACAATTAAAACACACCAATAAATGAAACCTCATGATGATTGTCTTAATATTTCTCATACTTTTCTCATGCTGACAAAGTGCCTTCTCTTTGAGGCAGGATTTGTTCCTTCACAAATCAACAAGTCAAACACCTGCATAGAATACAGGTAATTCTACAATGAATTCCCATAATAAAGTTAGCCATGGATGTGTATCCCCCAGCCATTTTTCTATAAATGGGAGGTAGAAACAGACGATCTTTGAAAGCTCTGGTCCTACTTCATTAAGTATTTCTGTATACTCCTCATTATGGTCTCTGCTTCATCATTTGGATCCTTCGCCCAAGCATTCGTTTTTGCTGTTCAGCTCTGTCTTTCTAATATGACTTCATCATTGCCATGTCTTTAAAAGTAATTTCCAAAACATTTCTCCTTTCTTGTCTGATGTCTTACATCTGACTCTGCCAAACTACACCGGTCATTAAATTGGCAGCAAGCGTACTCAAGTTGTAAACACAACAGAGACCTAAGATAAAGTAGAAAAAACCAATTTGCTATTCATCTAAGAGTCTCAAAACTTCACATGGATTTATGCAAAGCCTTGTGCAGTGGCATTTTATCCAAAACAAACAACAAAACACACACAAAAAAACACATTTGCCTGATGTGGATTACTTACTAGGTTTGCATTTAAAGGAGACAAGGAGGAATTTAGTGGTCCCTGGACACAGATCAGGTCCAAAAACCCGACTATTGACAAGGAGTTGGCAGGATCTCAGGTTTTGGCATTCATCCAGTACTTTCTAGAACAACGGGCAGAAAGGATAGGCTTGAAAACAAGATATGAAGCTATACAGCAATGAGAAGACTCAGTTGTACTTTTTTCTATACAGGACAGAAATCATTCCTTCACAACTTTTTGGCTATAAACATGTAAGAAACATCTGTATCATTCTATTTAGGCCACATCTCTACTGGACTTTGAGTCATGGCCAAGTTTATAGGAACACATTCATCACAGCGATGCCCATGGCAAATTAGGATGTTACCAATTTGCTGTTTGTCACTTTTCCCTCTGCCCCCAGCCTGTCAGCCAGACCTCACTGTGTGCCACCACAGCCTTAGCGGTGCTCCGGACTCCCCTCAGAGCCCAGAGCAAGTGGGAATGCGTTCAGCCTCCAACCTCTCCACTGACGTGCCTGAGGCACTCACACACTCATCAAATCATTGAATCATTTGGCTGGAAAAGGCCTTTAAGATCATTGAGTCCAACCATGACCTGCCCAGGACTAAACCATGTCTCTAAACACCTCATCTATCCATCTTTTAAATACCTCCAGGGATGGTGACTTGGAGTGCAATGTCCAGGTGAAGCATGGTAACTCAAAAAGATGTCTTTTTAACCATTTCATCTCCATCCACTTCAGGTTACCTGATCATGCTCTGTAATACTTTCACTTGAAAGAGTTCTAATGACTTGGTGTCACCCCTAGCTTTAAGCCTCATGCAGGACCTCCTGCTTAAGGGGCACTTAGCAGTTACACACGTTAGCAGATATTTACTTGACTTGCCACTTGAACCAGATCCAGAATGGGTTTGATCAGACAGCATAGATAGGCCTGTCTATCCTAAGCCTGCTTGTCCTTTTTTTTTTAATTTTTAAATGCTTTTCTGAGGCCATATAAACCCCAGATTTTTTTTTGTTTCAGCAATTTATCACGGTTCTTACTATGCTGCTTCACTAGGAGTGGCAAAAGAAGGAGGACGATAAAAAAGTCTGAAGTGTAATATGCAAAGGGTCATGTGGACCCTCTCCAAGTTCAGCAAAAGGACTGAGTACTCCTACTGCTCACACTGGTGTTCCCACTTCATCAGTGGTTTTGGAGTGTAGCTATAGAAAATATGAAGACATTGCCTAAGATGACTTCGAGTTTTTAACACAGAGCAACGTACCTAAAAAACCCCCAGTTTAAATGCAGCAGTATACTTACAAAATTTCTATTCACCTCCAAAGTCCAGTTTAAAGAGAGCTTTCTAGACACTATTTTTGGATAGTCTGTGTTTGTTGTGCCCAGGATTCTTGATGTTTAAAATCACAGCAGGCTGTGATAAGGAGGGTGATGTCTTTGGGTCACCCCACTCTTAACAGGAGTAACTGTAAGATACCATTCCCTCATAGTTTTAGGTACTCCTGTAATTGTATGGGAATTTTTGTCTTGTTTCTCATCAGAAGGGGTCTCAGTCATACCAAGAGGCCAAATCAAAAATTTACCACTGTGATAGCACAAGCTGCACTCTTGTTTCCAGGCTGAGAGAGTTGGCAGTGGCTGAATCTCTTCTGTCATCCCTGGAAGCCATCCCTCCCAAGCAGAAATGATACACATTGGCAGTGCATTGCAGAGATCCTATAACACTCGTGTCTTTTTGTTCCCATTGGTAGAAGGAGAGAACTTGCATCCAACACTTTTTGAGCATCAAGTGCACTCTAAAGAGCTTAAAAGGGAAGGAAAGGCACAGCAGACTTTATCAGTCAATTCTTCTTTTACAGAGTTGCAAGTCAAACAAATAACTGCTCTTTAATTGGGATGGTTCTGGAACAGGCCAGTGAAATAGTTATGTCTTCAGTAAGTGGAGGTAGCTGTCCCCCACTGAGTCCCCTTCTGTTTGCACCTGAGTGGAACCATCTCCTGTGCATCTGTTTTTATTTTCTCCTCCTTAACACAAACAGTAGTCACGTTTTCTGTCATGATGCTGCACAAAAAGCATGCAACCACAAAAGCAAATAATGATACTCGTAATGAGATAGCACTGGGCTGTTAATATCCCGAGACAGATCTAACTCTGCAGTGATCCTTTTAATAGGAGGTCACTGTAAAAAATGCCTGTTATGCTTCCTCGTGGCTGCAGGGCAGCATCATGCCCAATTATGCAGACTGCAGATGTGGTTCCAAAGGGAAAGGGAGGAGGGATGAGATCACCGGTCCTTTTTTCTAAGAAATCAGTTTACAGGATGTGTCTCTTCTCCTTGACAGAACCGGAACTCCCTGAGATGCAGAGCATTCATATCTCTCATGTTCGTGGCCTCATCAAAATGCTTTCGTGCCTTTGATCAGTGACAGTGCCTGAATGATGATGGTAGTTTATACAACATTTATCCCATGCTGTGTTTATTATATTTGAGGAAAAACACTGCCCATGGAGACCTCACAAAGGCACTCACAAGCCCAAAATAATCATTGGTGTCATTTCACTGTAGTCAGTAAAATGTTGTCAAGGATGCATCTGGACTACTGTTTTTGGTGAAGAGCTGTACTTTCACATGGCCTATAGGTTGTGTCTGGAATGTCTTTAGAAGTTTCAGTACAGCAAGGGCCAGCCACACTTACAGAACTGCCCTAATATTGTTTCTGGAGGGAGAGTATTACTGCCAAACCACTCTGTCATACTCTTCAACTCACTAGTGGTGGGAACAGACATTTCCTGTTGTCAGGAAGCAATGTGTCGGCTGCAAGCACCTATGTCACAAGCTTCATCAAAACTTCTATAGAGCATTTACAACAGCTTCACCAACAGAACATGTTCATATTCCACTGACTACTAATTTTGGCAATGATTTACTGAATTTGGCCTAACACTGGGCATTTTCACTATGATGAAACAAGGCTTTGACAGCAGTGCAAGTAAGACTTTCTAAGCCTTTTTTAAAAAGTCTCCACAGCAGAAAGTAATAATTTATGAAGTATAAATAACACCAAGCTATACTTAAGAGGGCCCAGCAAACAAACCATAGGATATTACTGATACAAATCATGTATTTACAGAAACACAGATACCTGCAAAAGTGCTTAGGATCTGCTGTTTAGCAGTCATGGTACCTTTTCAGTGAGTGAAGATAGGCATGCAACAAGCCAAATGCCAACCAGAATGCCATCTTATTCAGTGGATTTGTAACCCAGCTATGTCACACGTTTGTGTCCTCTTCAGGGGGCTAGGAGGGCCTGTGTGATGGATTAAGACTGGTCTGCTCAGTCATGACCAGCCCTCGATTAGAAGGGAGTCGATTCTTTTAGGGAACTTTGAGAATGGGCTTTCCAAAGCAAGGCTTATCAAACTAGAAGTCAATCTACAAAGCTTTCACAATCTTACAGTAATATCCTGCTGGCCAGACAAATTCTTTCAGTTGTAATACTTTCATGGTAAACTCACATAGACATGATGTCATTTCATCACAAACCTGCCCTTTTTACATAGCATAGCTCACCATGTGGAAACCAGCAAAAACATTCTGTATATTAATAACCTTTACAACATGCGATACCTGCAAAGAGGTGGGTGCCACACAGTTTATGGGTTCTGTCATCCTGGTTTCAGGCTCCTGAGTGCTACACATGTGGTAGTCTTGCCCGTAAAATGCTGACTGAACACTTATTGTTGAATGCCGAGGACAGTGCAGACTCAAATGTTCCCCATCGCAGGCATAGGCAGTATGATTTTGCAGAAGTTTGGTTAGGTAACCTAGAAAATATTCAGCTCTGTTACAACTAGTACAGGAAATGACAAGCTCGTTAGATAATAAGAAAACCACAATCAGTCTCTGGAAAGGGCATTGTATTCAAGGTTATATGTATGGCCCACTGCCACACCGCGTGGTTCTGTGAACGGGTCAACCTTTATATGCTAATAACGCTCAGGTCCGGAAAACAAGAGGTTGCGCAGCAGTGAGTCAGAGCCCTACCAGCACTCCAGCAGAGGCACTAGGTCGGCAATGTCATCTCAAAGACAATAAATGGGCTCAGGCCCCTGCCAGTCGTGGTCGCTAACAATCCCAGGGTGTGTTTGCAGAAGTCAGAAGAAGGGTTTTAACTTGGTTTTGCGGGCTAGACCCTTGCATTCCAGCTGGCTAAGGTATTCCTTGCCCCTCGCCTTAAACTGATATGTTGCACTGCTGGGCTCCTAGGCAGTCATGTTTCACATCAGTGATAACAAAAGTGATTCTCTCTGTATGACTGAATAAACTGCTAGGATAACAGGGGAAAAGTGGTCCATAAGTGCTGGACACCGTAGATACTGGAAAGAAACCCAGAAGAAAGATACATAGAATTCTGTATTTACTAGAGAGTTTGTCAGTGTTACCAGAAGAGGGAGAGGTAGCATCTGTATGCAGCTGTCCACCTGTATGAACTGTTTGCCTCTTTTAGTAAGTAAATCCATGAGCAGTGGCGCTAATGACAGCTGTTCTTCTGATTTGTATTTCATCACGTATTGCCTCTTTAGCCAAGATTTCTGTTATCACCAGAAACACAAATTTAGTCTCCTATGCCCTTCTCTCTGATCTGCAGTATACTTTAACAAAAACATGCAGGCTGCTAACTTTGACCATTACAAATTAGCCATTGTGCTGGGAAACTATTAAGGGTAATTTAATTCAAAGACTTTCCTCACTTATACTTATGAAGTTTTGATATCTTTACCACTCTGTCACACTTGGTTGAAATCTATCTTTAAGCAAAAAATGTCTATGGGTGAAGGGGCAGAAGAGCCGTGAGGGACAGAGAGATAAAGGACACAGAATATCAGTCTATAAATGAAGCAATATCCTTCCTCATCTCTCCTCCATAAACACATGGAAATTAGACCCAAACCCACCTCTTTTTCCTCATGAGTATTATGCCAACCCAATAAACTACAATCAAAGCAAATCTGTTTTCTAATTCTTCCATTACTAGACAACTTTTTTGTTAATGTGCATACAATAACTATATTTGAATAGTTTCAAATATTTGAATCTATTGAATATTCAAATATTTGAATTCTTATTCTTATACATGCATTAAATTCTGTATAATTCTCTCAAAAATTAATTCCCAACTTCCAGAACAACAAGTTCATTCACATTCAGGACAAAAATCCCAAACACAGGTCTCCAAACCCAACATACTAAGTAGTGAGAAAGCACTAAGAGTTTCCACTGATTTATCTGAGATTTGCAGAAGTTTTAAAACTGAGGCCATGATTACATAATAATTTCCAAAATTATAATTTTCCTATCTTTGCCTCTTTTCTGAAGATATAATTGGTCTTATTAAAGACAAAAGTTAGTATCTTCTTCTCAGAAGCCTTGGTTACCCCACTGTGGTGACAGCAATGTAATTACTGTTAAGCAACAGAGAGAAAAAAACCCAAACCACATTTTCTTGTTTTGGTGGCTGAATCAGAACTAGCATGACATTTTTAAAATATAATTAAAATAAAAACTAGTTTTATCAAAGAAAAGATTGAGAATGAGTTTGCTCACGCCATTTAATTTTCATATTTTTTGCCCTTTTTAAACCTTTCACCAAAGATGAGTAATTTGGGGCAAAAAAAGAGAGTTTTTAAAAGAAACTCAAGTTTTCCAAGTAAATGATATGAAAACAAAATATTTCAGTTCTCTGGCATTTTTGCCAACTGCAGCAACTGGATAGGAAAATCCAGCTCCCCTACCAGTGACTAAGTTTGGAGAAAGGAGAAGAAGCCTGGTCCACTACTGTCTCTGCTGTTCCTCGCCTAGAGCCCAAGAGAGGGCAGGAGTCAGCCACACGCACCTTCCAGTGCAGCAAAGATGTAGATGACTTCCTCACTTCACTGAACTCAGTCTGAGCACAGGCGCTAAAATCCGGGTGGAAAGAATTTCATGGCCTGTATTTGCAGTCTAGATCTCAAGAAGATCAGCCCAGCAGAAATCCCTGTGGCTTCTCATAGGTTAAAAAAACCCCAAACCAAATCCATTCCCTACATTTTCTGTGTAACTGAGATCACAAATAACTGAGCTCTCCTGCCAGAGCCACTCCTCCATCAGGCTGCCCCTGAAAGGTGCTGAGTATTGCCAGGAAAATGGGCCGAATGCCCAATTGCACCCAAGTGACTTTGTTACGGTCCGACACTATAAAGGGGCCTCCACTGGCATTTACTGCCACTGAATGCCTTTGACATTGCCATCATAGCATAAAGGGCCACAGTGTAAACGAGTATTCAGCCCAACGTGAGTTGAGGGCACTCAACACCTTGAAAGATTTAGCTTGATATTTGTAATCATTTCAATTCTTCAGGTTTTAAGTTACTTGGAGCCAAGAGTGCTGTATACAAAACAGCCCAGTATTCCCTAGAGAATATCAGCTATGTTGTGATTTGGATGAGTTCCCTGGCATCTTAACTGCTACTTTGATCCTGCAAATTCCTAATCCAGTATCTAAGCACCTTTCTCCAACAATTGCAACTATTCAATCCTTTAAAAAATGCCTTTATAAAAAACTTGCTCCGATTCTGTATAAGCAATATGGTTCACTTGTAAAAATAGTATTAGATGGACTGGTGAAAATAAGACATCATGCTCTCTGGCCTTCCAGGCGCCATTTAAGTGACTCTGCAGTTATTAAAATCCTTGAGTATTTGCACACAATAAAGGATAAAAATAGTAATGAAAATTGGCTGAAACCTAATGTTCTCTGATAAGAGAAGTGGTGACGTACTAGTAGCTGAACTGCTTGTCTCACATGGCAGACCATCTAAACCTGCATTTTTTATTACTATACACACACAGACTACGCAGACACAGGTGGAGCGGTCAGCCCTTTGCCAAAAGCGGTGCCGACTGGGCAGCTCACAGCCCACGCTGAGAAGTGATTCCCACTCAAAAGGTCACGATTCCCTCTTGCTTCTTCTCCGACAAAACTTCCAGCTTCTTTCCTCTCCTCATGCAGGTCCTCTTCACGTACCAGGGCTGCCTGCCCTGTGCCCACCTGGAGCATGGGGCTCAGGGAGGGGATAAAGTTTTCTCAGCAGCTGCTTCTCACCTTGGATCTGGAGTGGTGTTTGTGCAGGAGTGAGCAGTTTCCAGTTGCTTTCCCTCCTTTCCTGGGCAGCTTGGCCGCATAGTCACTCTGCTAGAAAGCTTCATCTTCTTGAGACCAGAAATATTGTTTACCAAATTCTGTACAGAAACCCACTTCCCTCATGGCAGCAAGTTTAGCCAAATGACAATGTAAGGCTAGGGGAAAAATACGTTCTTATCTCTACAATTAATAACAGCCGTGATTATCAAGAGAGAGGGCATTGTAACAGTTGAATGGGTCTGTCACTCTTTCTGAGGCATGCTTCCTTTCCTGCATTTCTCTCAACTGGCGCAATCAAATCAGGTCATCCAAAACAGTCAGCGGGGTTGTGTCACCATCCAACTCCGACAGCAGGGTTGTGTCACTTCCAGGCACCAGCCCAGCGCACTGCCTGGGCTACATGTGCTTCAGGGCACTATTGGTTGTTCACAGACTCTTGTTCTGTATTTGTTTCATTAATCAGCATGTCAGTGTAAATTCTGATAATTTTTTTTTTTTTTAGAGTATCCAAGATGAGAGCTAGAGGCTGTTCCTGGACTACAACACACCTCTAAGTCCTGGTCCCCTGCATGCTAGGCAAGCATTCGCTAGCTCCTCTCCAGCCAGCACATGAGGAGAATCCCTTTCCCTTGGAAAGCGGAGCACAAGGAGGGCTGAAGCTCAACCACATGGATGGAGTCAGACCATGGCTGGCTGTGCTCCTGGACTGAGAAACTATGAGACTTGTGAGGGTTTCTTATGCTGAGCATACAGAATCTTAAGCACACCTATAAAAATCCTTAGACAATGTAAGGTTTTAAAACTACTGTTGTTTTTTTTCTCTCTGTTTTCTGGTTTGTTGGGTGATGTAGGGTGTATGTATGTGTATTTAGCACTGGCAGTCAATTTTTCAAGCATTATTTTGCAATGAGGAGGACTATGGATTTCCTCTTTATTTTCAGAATAATAAATGTGAATCTTCTTTAAAACACTATGAAACTTTAAATGGAATGTCAACTATTGTCAGAACTGTATAAACTGGAAAAACTTGGCAATACTGTGGTGTCCCAATAACATCTCTAATGCCTCTGTGTGAAAGCCTCGCTAGGAGCTTTCCCATTTATCTAAGACAAACACTCATAAGCATTGTATGGGGTGCTCTGCATGCAAAATCATCTACAAGACGTTACAGACTGGCTCAGAAGTTAAGCCTGAATCATACAGCAATAAACAGCTCCCACTGATTTGAAGGCCAGAAGGTATCATCCCACCCAACCGTCTGCATAACCCAGACTACTCACTCATTGTAACTTTTTTACTGAGACTCAAAACACCAATGCAGAATCCCAGCGTAATCCTTTCTTCCAGAATTAGCCAAATTAGTCACAGCATCCACTGTGTTGACAAAGAACTTCAACTAAAAAACACATAGCACCAGAAAAACACACAAAACACTGTGGCTGAGCAGCTGAGCAAAGCTTTAAGCCTTAACTGATCATTTCTTGTTGCAAAAGAGGACTGATAAACGGGAATGACCATGATAGAAAAAAATAACTGGCCTAAGATAGTAAAGGTTATAAATAGATACCTTTTTATGTGAAACAGAGCTCTTAAAAGATTATAATTTTTACACTCAACATTTGCTCCTGGCATTATTGCTTTGAGTAGCAACAAGAATGATAGTAATGAACCTGACAGTAGGAACATTCAGAAAAAAAAATCCTCTTAAAAACACTGAAAAACTGGAAACTTAAGAAGTTTCAGTTTTAAAAAAAATGTGACTGCTAAAAAGCCTGGAAGCGGCCAGACAAGAGATATTACATCTTCTGCGTATGGCACAAGAGAGTACAGGGTACTCAAATTCGCTGGATTCATTCTTTATGATGGAGGACACTAACACAAGGCCTTAAGGCCCTTTTTCAGTTGTCAGCATTAGAGTAAAAAGGAAATTAATATATTCTGTCCAGCCTCACTGCAGTGCCATGAACCTCACCATATGGAACCATCAAGGAGAACAGCATTTCAAGCTGTGAGTCTAATGCCAGGCACATATTAAATGCAATCTCAGCGTTGACTGATGTCATGTCTTTTTGCCAAGAGAGCAGCTTTGCAATGTAATATTTTTAAAACCTGAAGCTGAGTAGCACACAGTCTGTGAGGATTCTCAGAATCGGTCCTTCATACACAGATTTAGTAATATTAGTTCCTGTGCATCGTTCAAACTAGCTTCATTAGCACGGCAATTTGCCTGCTCATTTTAAAGACACACAAATCCATTTTAGATCAAAATAGACTGAAATAGCATACATATTGTTGTGGGAGTCCCAGAAGGCTAATCCATTCGGTAAATCTACATCAGCTCCCGCAGTCTTATGAAGAATTGTGCCAACAGGCATTAAAATTACACAAGCAAGACTGAAGGAAGAGATCTCATGCAGTGATAACAGAATTGTTGATAAACTCCACTACAAACACCATTAGAAGCATCAATCTGGCATTTATAGCTATCTGGGATCCTGCTGCAGTACTTCTCCAGCAATATTTTCTCCATTGATCTGTGAAGGAAGTGTTGAAGAGAAATTAACCCCTAAGTTTCCTTCTGCTTCCCCTCTGCCATATCCTCCACTGGTGTTTAGAGGCAGCTTTGCCACACACCACGCTGTTCACGCTTTGTGCATAATCCCTGCTTTCAGAGCCGGGCTCCGTGTGTGGATAAGACAGTGCCTGTTTGGCTCCATTCACAGAAGCAGGGATCTGCCCTTTGTAATTCTCTCTCATCTCTTCCCTCGGTCGTCTGCAAGTTCTTTCTGTAGTAGCTCCTTTTTAGAATTAGTAATTATGACAGAGGACACAGTGTTACCCAAGAAAGACACTGTTTCTAAAATTCCCAACATGATGTTTCTTCAATCATCATTTTATTCTTTTTCATCCAAGTGCCTTGTAAGCATATCATTGAAGTCATTCTAGCCAGACTTGGTCTTGCAGTCTTTTAGCGGTGAGAAATACCCTTAGGCTGAAGCACTGTTTATTCTGCTCACTGTTCAGAAATGAGCAAACGGCTTCACTCAGCAGTTACACATAAAAATCCATATTTGCTTAATATATGCTTTCTTGCATAGTCACTATCTGACTTAATTTCCCCTCCATTGCTTGGTTTTTTTCAGTGTGCCTGTTTCCACTACTCCTCTCAACACTCTCACTCTTTACAAGCGACTGCTATCCTACTAACCTCAACTTTTTGCTTGTACTGTGGGAGATGGCATGAAAAGCTGGTTTGCCATGCAAGGAAAATAATTTTTGCATAATCATTGTATTTTTTATATTATCTAAACCTTTCTGACATGGGGATAGATGTTCACTTGGAAAAACTAGTGGTAATCTAGTTTCACTGTTCAGCTAGTGACCATAAAAAACCTTCTCATTTCCAAATGTCTAGTTTGGTTTCAGACCATCCAAAGCTGTGCTTTTCGTAGAAACAGACCTTGAGAGTTTCCAGTTGGCCATTTCTAAAACAGATGAAGCTTAGGAGGTCATGATGTCTGTCCATCTGCCGTTCCCTTACTCAACTCAACAACTTTTAAGCTGAATGGCCACTTTCAAACCTGAGCGGTAGAGGACTCAAAGAAATAAAGTTGCTACACGTTTCATGAAAATTGAAGCCTGAGCAGACAGGTCAAAATAAGAACTGCCACTTCCAACTCAAGCCCTTACTAATGCTAAAAGTCAACGGGCTGCTAATCAGCCTGCTGCTAATGGAGCAACTTGTTTTCACTGGCCTTAATGACAGATGAAGCATTAAGCCTTCAGTAAGAAAATGCTTAAGTTAAAAGTGAAAATGTTTTTGGGATAGCATGGCAATCAAAGCAGGCATTAGTGATGAAGACCTCAGTCAGGTTTTCCATTAACTGTTGTATCAACGTGTGCACTTTCCCAAGGAAATTGTTTTGTTTCATTTTTTCCCTCATAGTCATATTTCATGGATCGTAACTTGGATCATAACCATCTTCTTCAACCTAACTCTCACTGTCTGCTCAATCTGAGGGTCAAATTAAGCAAGAGTTTGGTTCTGCTTAAGCCAGAGAAGCGAGCCAGTAACCAGCAGATAATTCAGCATCAGCACCCATACAAACTCTGGTATGTGAACAAGCTTTATCCAGTGAGTAGCAGCACACACAAGAAACCAAGACATGAACTCTTTCTAGAAAAATAAAAACAATGTTTCATGAAGAAAGTATAACTTTCCTGTAACTTTTTGGTTATGCCAAATGGTCATTATTTCTCCAGGATGCACATAACCCCTTCATATCCGTGCCACTCAGCTCAGACTTGCAATTATGTGCATTCAATTTTTACAGAGTGGGAAAATCCATGAACCCTGCACTTGCAGACCAGATGCCTGTTCTCTCTCTCACATCCTCCCACAGCTGTTCTCTGTTTCCTTCAGATCTACAGTTTCAGATTCCCTTGTGTTGTCTCCTAGGAGTGATGCTTACTTTCGTTGTATACCAATGGCTTCCTGAGGAAACCAGAGAGGTCCCTATACACTTCCTTTTTCTCACTAATTTTCTCTTTTTATTTCCTTCTTCCCTTCTTGTGTTAGGAGAGGCAATCTATTACTGCTCCCCAAAGATTCTGGTCTGTAGAAAACACCATGCTACAGTCAGTTATACTTTTCTCAGCTATTCCATGAAACCATACAGCCAAATACTTGTCCTGGATCTTAATATGGAATTATTACAGTAGCAAAGGAAGATTTTCTCCCTCCTATTCTAAGATGCTGACAAAAGGTACAACACTGTTAAGGGGAACTGTGAGGCTCTTTTCTGCCCTTGCCAGAAAATCCTTCTTTTGCTTGGCGACAGAGTAGCTTCTTCTAGTGCCATTAACAAGAAGTAACAAGAGAAAGGCTCAGCAGGCAGCAACTGCTTCTGGAGACAGAATGAGTGAATCATTATGCCCAAGAGATGGCAAAGTTATGATCTTCCCAAAGACTGCAAGTAGGAGAACCCCAGGGACTAGAGGAAAATACTTCTTTGAAAACTTGGATTTATGAACTTGAACC